AGTGAGTTCCATGTGTGAATCACTCTTTGGGTGAAGAAGGACTTCCTTTTATCTGTTCTAACTCGACTGCTCAGCAATTTCATGGAGTGCCCACAAGGAGTTCTTGTATGGTGAGAAAGGGAGAAAAGTACCTCTTTCTCTACGTGCTCTATCCCATGCATCATCTTATAAACCTCCTTCTCCCGCACGCGGGAATGTTGGCTAAGTGGCCTAATGTCCGGTTCCACAGCCAACAACGGAGTACACGCCTGACACAGAGGTTTATCCAAGGCATGAGCTTTCGTGTGCAAGGCACACTGCTTCAGATACATTAGAACGACAGGCAAGGTTCAAACTTATAGATGGGCTGAACAGCAAATTCACATGTAACATGATGAAGATGTTTAAGAAATGCAAAGACACCCATTTCGGTATTTTGGTATAGAATTTGGTTTTGATTTCATTCCAAACCTTTAACAGAGCCGCCCTTAGAATATGGTTTTTAAAGTGCAGGTGGGTTTTATCTTTCCCGTACCAAATATACGCGTGCCAGCCCATTACTAGGTCTGATCCCTCTAGAGTTAGGCCCCTCACGTCCTCCAACTTGATCCATTCCTTTATCCAGTCAAGACAGGCCGCTTGATAGTAAATTTTCCAATTTGGTAGGGCGAAGCCACCTCTGTCCTTTGCTTCTTGTAATAATTTTGCTTTAATTCTTGGTCTTTTAGCACTCCAGATAAATTTTTTGGTTATCTTCTCTAGTTCCTCCAAGAACTGGTTTCTTCTCAGCACCGGGATGTTCGGGCGTGCCTGCCCCCCCCCCCCAAAAGCTCCCTGGCGTTGCCAGCAGACAGCTGGGAACAGATGCAAGAGGCGGCCTTGGTGTGATCCTCACGATCATTACGGCTCCCACAAAAATCTCCTGGTGCCCATCAGTGAAGCCCGAAGTGGGGATCCTGTGCCTGGAGCTTCCGAGCACTTTGATTTTGTAAATAGTTGCTACGCAGCAGGGGTCCACTTTAGACTGAGAGCTGGTGTGGTGGGTTTCCCCAGCTTGCCAGGGCCTCTTTGGGAGAAACGAGAGATGCAGCGGAATCGCCTTGGAAGAGCAGACATACAACACAACGGAAGACAGACCTGGTCATCGAACTCCAGAGGGAACTGCCTGAGCACTTGGGGTTCTGCGGGGAGAGAGAGAAGGAGCAGAGGTCAGCCTACAAAATGCAGAGGGACCAGTTCCACCCCAAAGGACTCTGCGCCGAAGCTGAGCTGGCTGGGACTGGCCAGAGGCACCAGGGGGACGATTCTGCATTGGCGTTTCCCTTTGTTGTTTTACCAAACCCACCTTGGAACAGAAATCCCCCTCATGCTGTCGCTTTCTCTAATCATTGGGGTTTTATGGTAGCCTCCACAACCACATGCCTCTTTCACTTTCTCCGATCATCGGGTTTTATGGTAGCCTCCACAACTACGTTCCTCTTTCACTTTCTCTGATCATCGGGGTTTTATGGTAGCCTCCACAACTACGTTCCTCTTTCACTTTCTCTGATCATCGGGTTTTATGGCTCCCTCTACACTGCATGCTGCTTTCGCTTTCACTGACATCGGAGTTTTATGGTAGCCTCCACAACTGCATGCCTCTTTCACTTTCTCCGATCATCGGGTTTTATGGCACCCTCTACACTGCATGCCGCTTTCTCTTTCTCTGATCATCGGGGTTTTATGGTAGCCTCCACAACTACATGCCTCTTTCGCTTTCTCTGATAATCGGGTTTTCTGGTACCTTCTGCATAGATTTATGGTCGTTCAGGGGTGACTTCGCAGTCAGTACGGTGGTGTTGCCCTGGGGTATTTGAATGTGGTTTTCTAATCTCTTCTGAAGCTCCATCCCATTTGCTTATCACATCAATGGGGCGTGGGGAATGATCGATGGGCCCCGGCCCCCCTTTGCCCCACCGCGGCTACAGGCCTGACTCGCCTGGACAGCCTAAAAGGGAGGCAGCCTTTAGCTCCTCTCCCCACAGTGTTACCGTGTTTCAGGGGCTTGCTTGGGGTGTGCTGCACTTCCGTCGATGCAGCTGTGGCCTGTTAAAATTCAAGTTACGTGCCGTGTGTGTTCCTTCTTGGGTGCAATTACTCATGTACACACAGGAAGAGAAGCAGCCGGCAGGAGATGGTGAAAGAGCTCACGTTGCCTTGGTCCGTGACAGGGCGGCGGGGGGGGGGAGGTTTTGTGTGCATATTTCTGATTTCCTTGGGTAGAGCTGTTTATGTAGAGATTTCCATCTCCCCTAATTTTCTTATTTTAACTGCAATACTGCCAGGGAGGGATCCAAGTGCCACCTCAAACCATCTTGGTGTGACACACACACACACACACACACACACACACACACACACACACTGGGCGTATGGTCATTGGCTCGCAACAATGTTCCCTCTAAGATGTAGAGTCCTGTGAGCAAAACTTCTACTTTGTGAGCTACCGGCATTAAAGTTGTGAGCAAGCGATTTGGCTGCTGCATAAATTAGTGTGTTCTGGAGCCCCATCCTTCCTGAGCTGAGACAAAGAATGTGTGAGCCGGAGGCTTAAAAACTGTGAGCTAGCTCACACTAACTCAGCTTAGCGGGAACACTGCTCGCAACCGGTGTGAGAGGAAACGGGGAAGGGAACAGGGGAAATGACATCATGCCGCAGGGCTGCCAAGGTCGCCCTCAATAGCAGTGGACCTACTAGCAGCTGACCCACACCCTTGCTGTCGACTGGTAGGGAGTGGGGGAGAAATAGAATCCTAGAGCTGGAAGGGACCTCCAGGGTCATCTAGTCCAACCCCCTGCACAAGGCAGGAGATTCACAAGTACCTCCCCCCCCACCTCCACACACCCACTTACCACTGTTCCATACCCAGAAGATGGCAAAAAAAGCTTCCAGGATCTCCAGCCAAACTGGCCTGGGGGAAAATGGCTTCCTGAGCCCGAAGTGGCGGTTGGCATTCCCCTGGGCGTGTGAGAAAGGGCCACGAGGACTAAGCACTGAGGCAACCCTTCCCGCCCTCCCTCTCGTGATCTGCCGAAGTTCACAGGATCTGCCTAAGCACAGGAAATTGCTGTTGGAGTGATGGTGTCACATCACTTCTAGGGCAAACCGGGAAGTGATGTCATTGCATTGGCGCCACACTCTAGGGCTCACCAGAAACTCTATGGTCAATCTCCATGGTTTGACCGTGTTGTTTCTGGTGAACCCTGGAGCATTATTGCAATCATGTAATCACTTCACTTCTGGGTTTGCCCGGGACCCGACGTCACACTAGCACTCTGATAGCATCTCCATGCCCCGTCGCAATGTTCCCTCTAAGCCGTGGAGTCTTGTGAGCAAAAATTCTACTTTGTGAACTGCTGGCATTAAAGCTGTGAGCGAGCAGTTTGGCTCCTGCATAAATTAGTCTGCTCTAGAGCCATCCTTCCTGAGTTAAGACAGAAATGTGTGAGCCAGAGGCTAAACACCTGTGAGCTAGCTCACACTAACTCAGCTTAGAGGGAACACTGCCTCCCAGTCTTCTAGCAATTAAAATAAATTAAAATAATCTTGTTTCAGTGGGAGGTTGTCACTACAGTGTTGGTTTTATTCTCTCCCACTCCTCTTTCCGGGTGCATTTTAAAAATCATCCCTCTTCTTCCCTGCGCTTGGGCTGCCTCTGCGTTTATGGCTCTGCCTCTTACGGCAGCCATGTTGTGGTTGCACCCACCACCCGGTGTGAGAATTCCAGAGGTGGCCACGGGAAAGGGCAGCAAACTCTCTCCTGTGCCCACTGTTATAAGACAGCACTGCAGGCAGTGTTCCCTCTAAGCTGAGTTAGTGTGAGATAGCTCACAGTTTTTTAGCCTCCAGCTCACACATTTTTGTCTTCGCTCAGGAAAGAGGGCTCCAGAGCAAACTAATTTATGCAGCAGCCAAATCGCTCGCTCAAAACTTTCAGGCCCGTAGCTCACAAGGTAGAATTTTTGCTCACAAGACTCCACAGCCTAGAGGGAGCATGAGACCAGTGTTCCCTCTAAGCTGAGTTAGTGTGAGCCGGCTCACAGTTTTTTAGCCTCCAGCTCACAGTTTTGTCTCAGCCCAGGAAGGAGGGCTCCAGAGCAAACTAATTTATGCAGCAGCCAAATCGCTCACTCACAACTTTAATGCCAATCGCTCACAAAGGAGAATTTTTGCTCATAAGACTCTGCAGCCTAGAAGGAGTATTGCCGCCAATGTGTCCCTCTAAGCTGAGTTAGTGTGAGCTGGCTCACAGTTTTTTAGCTTCCAGCTCACCGTTTTGTCTCAGCTCAGGAAAGATGGCTCCAGAAGAGCAAGCTAATTTATGCAGCAGCCAAATCGCTTGCTCACAACTTTCATGCCCGTAGCTCACAAAGTAGAATTTTTGCTCACAAGACCCCACAGCTTAGAGGGAACATTGACTGCAGGCAAATCAGTCCCCGGTTAATTAATTGATTTCATCCCATTTTCATCTTCCCCTTCTTCCGAGAAGATCGATGCTGAGCGAAGGCCTTCCGCGTCCCTCTCTCCTATTGTCTTCGGCCAGTACAGACAGAGAAGACTCACCATAACCTGCCGATGTTGGGCAGCCGGCTTCAACGAACAGGTCAAATATCTTCTGGGGGTTTTCCCTGGGGAGTGGAGAAGAATCAGTGGAGTCGGGATTGTCTAGGGACTGGGGAAGCGAGGGCTTCGGTAGGGTTGCTGAGTCCGGGTCGGGAGATTCGTGGCGATTCGGGGGCGGAGCCTGAAGAGGGGCCTCAGTGGGGAATGGCGCCCTGGGGTCCACCCTCCAAAGCAGCCGTTCCCTCCAGGGGAGCTGGTCTCTGTAGCCTGGAGACCAATTATAATTCTGGAAGATCTCCAGGCCCCACCTGGAGGCTGTAGCAACCCGAGCTGCAGTGTTAGGTAAAGGTAAAGGTTCCCTTGCTCGAAAGCCAGTCGAATCCAACTCTAGGGTTGCGCTGCTCATCTCCGTTTCAAAGCCGAAGAGCCAGCGCTGTCTGAAGACGTTTCCGTGGTCATGTGGCCGGCATGACTAAACACCAAGGCACACGGAACGCTGTTCCCTTCCCACCGAAGTGGTACCTATTTATCTACTTGCAATTTCTTGCTTTCGAACTGCTAGGTTGGCAGGAGCTGGAACTAGAGACGGGAGCTCACTCCGTCATGCGGCACACTCGGGTCTCGAAGTGCTGAACTACCGACCTACCACAGCCTGCAGTTCAGCGTCTTAACCAATTGAGCCACTGCAGAGGAAAGTCAAATAACCAGGGGTCATTTCCTGCAGGAGCACACAGCTGGCTTGTGGGGGAAACCCCATCCCCAAACATAGGGTTGCCAAGTGCCACGTACTTGTTCCGCGGGGGACTCCCGGGTGGTTCCGGGAACGCGTGCGCTTTGTGCGCACGCGCGCCACATGCAAGTCACCAGGAAGTGACGTTATGACGCCGGGCACGCCCCCCCAGGGGGACTTGGCAGCCCTACCCAAACACCAATGTCGCCCTGCGGACCATTCTGCCTCTAGCATTTGCTCCGCTGTTTTACCAAACCCGCACTGGAACAGAAAAAGACGCAGCTCAAAACCACAATCAGACACCCCGGGGGCCAACGCCGGACTGCAGGGTCACCCCCGAATGGCCATAAAATGGACCTAAATCTATGCAGACAGTATTATAAAACCGAGAGTTCAAAGGAAGCGAAAGCGGCACGCAGTTTGGACGCCGCCATAAAATCCGACAATCAAAATGAAAGTGGCACGCAAGGTAGAGGGGAATCTCTGTTCCGACGTGGGTTTCGTAAAACAGCGGAGCAAATGCTAGATGCGGAATGGGCCTGCAACGTCCCCCAATGCCCTGATGTCACCCAGAAGCGACATCATCGCGTTGGGGACATTGTGCGGCGATGCCCTGGGTTTTGGGCAAAACACTATGGTTTGATCCAGATTTTACCGTAGAGTTTTGCCCAGGGGTCATTCCCTGCAGGGGCACACAGGAGCGGAGCTCCGGCAGTAAAGAGCCCAGGGGGCGGGCACATGCAACAAGCCCCGCCCCCTACTCCCAGCAGCCCTCAGTCAGAGCAAGAAGCAGCCAGGTATGTTGCAGAGCCCCCCCCTTCTCCCCAGTCCAAAACAGTCCAGTGGCACCTTTAAGACCAAGTCTTATTCAGGTACAAGCTCTCCCTCCTCTGTGAGGACAGATCTGCACGTTTCCCCCCCCGCCGCCCAATAGCTAGCAATCCAAAACAGTCCAGTGGAGCCTGAGCGGTGGGTGTTGCCTCCTGACACACTTCCGGGGATGTCAGGGGGTGTGTCCTATGCAAATAAGTTATCCTAATGAGCTCCTGCACCTCTTTTTCTACAAAATGACCCCTGGAGCACAGGTCCATCAGTGGCTGTTAGCCACAAGGTATAGATAGGGGCTCTGGGGCAAGTGATGCTCTGTCTTCTTGGTGCTTGG